GGCCGCGCCGCGGTGGGGGAAGGGGCGGGGGGGAGCGGCTCCCTCACGGGCATCGCCGTGCCGCAGGGCCTCCTAGGGACAGTCCGGCCCGGGAGAGCCGGGCCCTCGGGCAGCGGGGAGCCACCGCTGGGGCGAGGAGACCGCAGTGAGCGCAGCCCTGGTGCTGCTGCGCGCTGGGCCTTCCTCGGCACCTGGCCCTCGCCGTGTTACCAGCATTGAGGTGAAGCCCGTCTGCGGGCATCGTGCCCGCACGCTCCTCTGTAGGTGGCACTGCTTCACCCAACCCCCCCTTGGGTTCTTCCGCAGGGTGCCCCTGTTCCTCTGTCGCCCGGCACCTTTGTGGGTCTGTGAGTTGTATTTGCACTCCTGTGTGCCCCAAGTCTGTCACGGCTGTCCCCCAGCTCCTCTGTCCTGCGCCTCTGTCTAAACGGCTCCTGTCCAGCAAATCAGTCACTGGCCTGAAGCTAATCACTGGCCCTAGTGTATATTCTGTCTTCCTCTGTAGCATTGCTTCTGGTCTCAGGCCCTTTGGTGCCTTCTCCAGGGTGAGTTACCTCGTCACATCTCTGCCCACACTCTTCCTGAGGCAGCCTGTGCTGGGAGCAGTGGGAGAGGGTATCCTCTGTCGTCTGTTTCATCCCATCACAGAGGTGGTGTAGCAAGTCAAAAGGAAGGTTTCCCTTTTTAATGAAAGGGAATTTTTCCGGGCTTCTTTAGAAATCCTAGAAATGTTAGCTCTAAGACGACAAAATTTGCAAGAGTTTGACAACTGTGCACCACAGTGCGTTGGCTGAGGCAGCTGATAATTTTCTTATTCAGTTCTGTGTTGTGAGTGATTGTCATCTCCTTTGACTCTGACAAAACAAACAGTAAAGGAGATGGGATAGCGGAAGGCTTTTTGTTGATTTTTCTTTTTAGGATACAAGGATTGGTATTCAGCCAACAGCTCATCTACAGCAGCCGTTATCATGTATTTATTGACTGGCCCTGAGCGGTCATTTGGCTTCCCATCAGGTTCCTTTTCTTTCTAGTCCTTAAGAAAAAGAACTGCCTCTTCTTTTTTTTTTTTTTTTTTCTTTTTTCTCTGTTTCTGTGAAGTTGTTCCTAGGAGTGAGTGAAGACCGAGGGTGCAAAGGTGGGCAGGACAAACAGGCGATGGGGACTGGAATTGCTAGGGAAGGAAAGAGTGAGAAAAAGCCTCCTCACCTGGCAGCGGATGTTGTGCAGGGGCACTGACTGTTTGTATGAGCCTAAAGCGTTATGATAACGTAATGATCTTTAAGAACAGAATCCTGAAAACAAACTACAGGCCTAGCCACCTTCCCTATTATTCAAGAAATCCTTCAAACAGTTCTTTCTCCTTAAATAACTACCTGCTTCAGTGCCCTGTAAAAGAGCGGTTCTCTTCATCTCCACATAGACCTACGTTCAGCCTACCAGAGTTGGTCTGTTACTATGTAATCCCCTTTTTCCTTTGCTCGCGTGGTCTTTGGGTTTTGTCAGTAGGCTTTTTCATTTGAACAAATTTACTCTTTTTCCCTTCGGCACTTTTCCTGCTAATGTTTGATCTAGATGTGATTATGAAATCTCGCTTCCATACTCTTGAACTCCCCGGGGTATAGGCCTGCGAGGCTCTCGCAGTTATAAACAGCCCTCCGGTTCAAGCAGGCAATGCTACGCTGTGCGAGAACAGAGCAAATAGCTGCCAGAACCCCTCGTTGCTCGCTACAATCAGGTCTTCGCCTGTGGGAGCGTGTGTATTTATAGCCTTGTCACAGAACATCATAATTAGATGTGCCCGTAAGGCGGCCACAACCCATAGCGTTGTCACAGCTCGGGGACCCCATTATTAGTACTGTGTCGTCAGAGGGTTAGGCTGCAAGCAGATAACCTATCTAATACAGCAATACTTTGGGGAATTAGCCACGATTCCATTTTGGGGTGATTAGTTTTTCATCTGATGATGCTAATGCAATGTTCTGTGTTGTTGCTCTGAAGACTAAAGTTGTCTGTTACTCCTGGAACAGGTACAGTTTCCACATCAACAAAACCGAAGCTGCTCAGGAGGAACCACTGCTATTTGGTCTCCGTAAACTGCTGGTGTTCAGTCTCCATGAGCGGTTCTGTCAGTGGACTTTAATAAGACTGCAAAGGTAATTGAAAGATTTGCTTTATGATCTTCATTCCTGCCAACAAAAATAAAAGTTTTAGAATAAGAAAAAGAAAAGAGGTTCTCTCTGAGAACCTGTTCAGTTACAGAGCTAAACAGCGATTTCTTGGTTGACATTTGTTTTAAGCCACCGCAGGTCTAGATTTGCCTCAAACAGCCAAATTAGAGGTGAATCTGTCAGCTGAGAACTGAAATTCGGCTCCTTATTTCCTTCCCTTGAGCCACCCAGCGCCCCACAAATTTGAGTTAGAGATAACGGAGAGGGACACAGGACTGTTGGAGTCATAGGAGTTGACTCAAGCTGAGTAAAAGGTATTAATTAAATACCTGTTTAATTACAGAAATATCAAGCTGACTACTGCTTCAGTGCTGTGTGTTACTTCAAAGATATGACACACTGATTTAAAGGGTTTTTGCTGGAATACTTTTATTAAAAGCATAGGAAGAGAAAGGTAAGAGTTAGTGGGTTTTAGAATGGAAGGAGTTAAATCAAAACTTAATGTCAACAATTTTCCTTCGTTTCTTCTCCCTGGTTATATGAAGTTCTTTGTATAAGAACTCCTTTTCTTGACGCTGTTTCATGGTATGAGCTACTTGTGACTGGGGGGGTGGTAGAGGGACAGCAGATTTCATCAGTCTTCAGTTATTGGAAACGGAACTTGTTCCCTTTAGCAAAAAAAAAGAAAAAAGAGGAAAAAAGACTTTGTCTGCAGGAGGCAGACAAAAGATGCCTTTTTCTTGCTTGTTTGAAAATTAGCTATGGGGAGTTGCACACGTAGCACATGCTCTCAGCAGCCACTCAGAGCTCACAAACCTTTATGCGTGAGCTTTTTAATGACCTTACTGAGTTTCGTTTTCTGACCACAGGCTCGGTTTTGAGAAAGGAGGGGTTTGCCTGACGCTTACTAGGCAGGAGGCGAAAGGAGAGGGGATGAAGATGGGCAAGGGGAGGAAATAGCAGGGAGGGGTGAAAGCCAAAGCTTCCAGTTCCCAAAGGAGCTATGAAGACCTGTTTTTCTTAGTTTGAACTCACAAGCTTGAAGCAATTGTCTTTACTCCTTGTTAAGTTGAATTTACATATTCAGATGAACTCATTCCCTTTGACCTACTTTGGCCAGCTAAACTGCGTTAAGGCCTGTGCACAATGGGGGTAGGGGAGGAGTTTTTCTCAAACTTTCAATTCCTTTATTGTTGCTGGGATCAGTCATGCGTATCTGTAATGCCTGGGATCAAATCTTTAGCTGTACCTAATAAACATTAGGCAGTACTCAGGGCAGGATTTGCACTGCAGATGCTTGCAATCCTGTTACCTCCTGTCCTATCCAACACTCCCATCGTATTACTGCTTCTCTCTGTGTTCCCCAGGCTTCATGAAGTCAATTATTCAGGTTTTGTGTGTCCAACTCACTCGTCTACATGTCATCATGCCTTCTCTGCTATCAAACCTCTCCCTGAAATCCCACAGCCTCCTGTCTTTGATTACAGGCCTCATTTAATCTGACTTGGAAACTCTTTACAGTGGGAACCATGCATCAGTCTATATACATGAGATTAGTGTGTACGTTTCTGATGCTTGACCCGTGACATTTAACGAGAGCCAACGGCAGAATACATGGGTGCGAGTGGTTGCTGCTGGCATGTCTTCACTGGGGGAGGAGTAGGAAAAAGTGGGAAATAGGCCTTTTGGATGGATGCAAAGAAAGGCCTGGAAAATTCAGAAGGTGAAAGCTTGTGCTGAGCCGTGCAGATGAGCAGAGGAACTCTAATTAAAATACAGGCTCTGTGTTGTTCTCAGGAACTGGGCAACATTCCCCATCTGAGCTCTGCCAACGTATCTCAGTCCTGGACTTCAGCACCCACTGCTGCTCTGCTCTGTAAGACACCCACTCAGCTTGGCCAGCGCATCTCAATCTTGATCTGTAACACCTCCTGCTGTTCCAATTCTGGGCCCTTTTTGAGCAGAAAATGCCATCTCTCTACTAAATTGTGCCAAATTGCTTAGTTTTGGCCACAGAACTCATTTTCACTTGTCACCTGATGGGATACCTAGAGACTTCCATCTAGCACTGTCAGCAACAGAGGAAAAAGAACATGTGAATACTCAGCCCCCTGCTATGTCCCCTAATTATATACTGATGTGTCAATAACAAACACACTTTCATGTCTTGGCAGTTGCAAAACACTCATCGGTAGTGCAGTGCTTCAGAAGTAGCATTGCACAGGAAAGATGCAAGTCCCAGTTTAAATTACTTAATTAGTATCAGCACAGTCTGTATCCAGAATTAGAGTTTGGAAGAAACACCTAGTATGAAGCTGTCAGATGCCAGTTGTTTGGATGTTCTGCAGAATCTGAACCACCACATTAGAGAGATTTGCTGTTGCAGAAGTGAGTGTTTCTGCACGGAGAATCTCTTTTCCCTCCCACCCTGCCTCATGATTATGTATCTGCCTTCCTTGGAGACCTCGCCATCAATCATTTTTTTGAGAACTCAGCAGTGGGGGGTGGAATGGCTTCCATCTCGGCTGAGACACCAGGGCTGGAGCTGGGAACATCCAGATCCAAAATGATGCATCTCTTTCAATTGGAGCCAAATTGCTGGATTTTGCAGTGCTGATCGCTCACGCCCTGCGGTGATCAGCCTGGCTTTCAGCAGAATACGCAGGAACTGGAGCAAGTGTGAGCCACCACGTGTGCTGGTGAACACCCCGAGCAATTAGAGTTTGTGGCAGTGACTGCCTGAGTACAGGAACAATCGCCTCGTTTCTGGAGCAGACCTGGTTCAGACCAACAGAAATGGAAGAACTAAAAACTTTTGTGGGAAGAAGACGGGTTAGGAAATTATCATCAAGAAAGAAGTGAGAAAACTTTGGCAAGAAGACGTCTTGACGGTGTTTCCATTCTTGCCCCTGTGAGACTCCAAGTGCAGCTGCACCAACTGCAGCACTGTCAGGTGCTGAGAGCTGCAGAACAACAGGCCAGCTAAACTCCTATTTGTCTGTCAGGTTTGGCCCTGTAAACAGTCACGTGAGAGTTTTTAGATGTATTACAGGTGGCTTTGTATACTGACCAG